TGGAACTTCAAGTACCAAATTTGAAACAATTCCGGTAAATAATGACGCTAAAATCATCATAATACCGAATATTGGGAGGTACCGTTATATGGGGGCTATACGAAGACGTGGACCTGCACAGACAATTTTCTGTCTCAGGCTGTAGTATCCATTTCGAACTTCAAATACCAAATTTAAAACAATTCCGGTGAATAATGTCGCTGTCCACGTCTTCAAAATACCCAATATCGGGAGGTACTGTTATATGGGGTCTATACGAAGACGTGTCCTGCACAGACAATTTTCTGTCGTAGGCTGTAGTATCTATTTCGAACTTCAAATACCAAATTTGAAACGATTCCGGTGAATAATGTCGCTAAAATCATCAAAATACCGAATATCGGGAGGTACCATTATATGGAGGCTATACGAAGACCTGCACAGATAATTTTCTGTCATAGGCTGTAGTATCCATTAAGAATCTCAAATACCAGATTTAAAACAATTCCGGTTAATAATTTCGCTAAAATCATCAAAATACCGAATATCGGGAGGTACCGTTATATGGGGGCTATATGAAAACGGGGACCTACATGGTCCATTTGCGAACTTAACCTGCCTACTGGAAAAATAAACATTTGTGCAAAATTTTAGCCTTCTATCTCAACTCCTTCGAAAGATAGCGTGATTACAACAGATAGACAGACGGACAGACAGACAGACGGTCAGAAAGACGGACATAGCTAGACTTAGAATTTTACGCTGATCAAGAATATATATACTTTGTTGGGTCTGACATGAGTATTTCGAGGAGTTATAAACGGAATGACAAAGCTAATATACCCTCCATAGTATGGTTGAGGGTATAAAAAACGACTCAGTTAAACAAACTTTTCGACTAACAACCCCTCAACATCGAGTAGAAGAAAAAGAAGGCAAAGAAGTTCCAACCACTACCCTGATTACTTTAGCCTCTTTGCTTGACAACCATTGTTGGAGCTGTCAATTTTTTCCCTCCATCTCTTGGCAATGGATTTGTGACACCTTGTGGCGCTACAAGATGCTAAAAATCAGTTGGAATACAATTTATGTTGTTGTTGTCGTTGTCGTCATTGTTGTTGTTACTCCATTTGTATTTGTCTTATCTAGTCCCTGCCACTCAGAACTCCACTCGAGTGACAACTTAAAGGAAGGCATCAGTTGACAGAGTTGGTATTGAGAAGAGCTGTGGGAGCATTTGGAGCAAAACATCTTGGTTTAGTTGTTGTATTCTGGAACAAAAAACGCTTCTTTGGAGTAAAATCTATAGAGAGACTCACACACTCACACACATTTGTTTACACACTCCTTGTGTGTGTGTGTGCACAAAGCCAGGTATTTTTGTGAGAATTTTGGAATATGTTTTGAAAGAAGTACGAGTGGAAAGAAGCAAGAAAACATGTTGACATTTTAAGTGATACCATTTTCGACATCAATGCTGGTGCTACTGCTGCTCCTTGAATGGCAGAATGTTGTTGTTCTTAGTTGTCATGTTTAAAATGTTCCATATATTTATCTGCACAAACACAAACACATGTAGAAGATATATCTTTGTGTGTGAGCTCAGAAATGCCTTAGGATTTTATGGAGCTAAGAATATTTGTCAAACAAAAACATTTGTACATAAATACCTGTTCAACCCGTTATCGTTAATAGAGTTTGCCAAAAATTGTTGTTCAATTTATCTCGAATGAAATTCATTCATGTTGCAAAATATTTTGTTATTTAATAAACATGAAAACATATGTTGACTTCAAAATTTAAATTCTTTAAAAAAATCGAAAATGAAGCGGTGGAAGAATTTTATTTGAAAGTATTAGTCGGTTTTGCCGACAGATGTATACCCTCATCAGGCTATGTACGTTTATTTAAATATATTTTATGACAGATATAAAAAAAGGGTCATGCGAAAATTATGACCCTTTGTGGGGAGGTACCAGAAGGTGTGGGCCGATATATTTTATCTCTGTGTTGGGAAAAATATTGCCATCTGTAAAATTTGAAGAGAATCGGAGACTTACTTCGCATTTTATGAAAAGGAAATTTTTTTGTGTGAGAGGTGGAGAGGACCGATATATCTCATCTCTGCACCAGATCTCGTGTTAATAAAAAATATTGGGATCAGTAAAATCTGTAGACAATATATGTGTGCTTACTTAAGTTATTAAATATTTTGACCCGCTGTGGAGGAGTTGCCAGAAGCAGTTGTCTGTTCTATCCGTTTTCCATAACAGAACTTATGTTGGTGAATACATCTGGTTCTGTAAAATTTGAGGAGAGTCGGATGAGTACTTCACTTTTCATGAGTTTCATGGTTATTCAACATTTTGAACCGTTTGAAAGGGGGGGGGGATACCAGAAGTAGTGGTCCGTTTTATCCATTCATACCAAACCTTACGTTGGTGGAAATATTGAGATGGGCGAAATTCAAAGACAATCGAACTCTTATTTCAAATTTTTGTTAGAGTTATTATTATTATTATTCAAAAGTTTGGGCCCTTAGTAAATCTGCTAATAATATTGTAGTTGGTGTTCTAAATTTAAATGTTTGTAACATTTTTTTTATTTATTAATTTTTTTTGTGGAAATACAAGGCGAATATTGTCGAAAAGGTTAAAAGACCTTTGTGGGTTAGCAAAAATGTTTGTACGTGTGTAATTTGAAGAGAATTGGGTGCTTATTTCGCATTCTTTGAGCGTTTTGTTTTTTAATCTTAAAGGAGGAGGTACCAGAAGAAATTTCCGATCGCTACCATTTTGATAACAGATCTTGTGTTGATGGAAATTTTGAAATATATCAAGTCAGAATGGAAACGGATGTTAATTTCACGTTTTGTGGATGGATAGGGAGGTACCTGAAGGATTGGACCGATATTTCCCATTTTCACAACATATCTTGTGTTAGCAGAAATAGTGAGATGTGTGCAATATGAAGAGAACCGGATGCTTATTTCGGACTTTATGATCGTTTTGGTTATTCAAAACCTTGACCCTTTTTTGGTGGATGTAGCGTAAGAAAGAGACCACCTTCATAACAGATCTTGTGTTGATAGAAATATTGAGATGTACCAAGTCTGACCGGAATCGAATGTTAAATTCGCGTTTTATGATCTTTGAGGATATTCAAAATGTTAACCCTTTTTGATATATCTTCATCTTCACAGCAGATCTTGTGTTAGTACAAATAATGGGATGTGTGAAATATGAAGAGAATCGGATGCTTATTTCGGATATTACAATAGTTTTGTCTGTTCAAAATGTTGACCCTTTGTGGGGGAGGTATTTGATTTTGTGGACCGATATTTTCCATTTTCGGACCTGACCTAGCACTGAGGTAAATATCAGGATTTGCAAAGTTGAAGTAAAATCGGAAGATCGATTCTCAGTAAAATATTTTTTTTTTTGAAGTTTCGACTTCGAACTCGATCTAAGTTCGATAATAATATTGCGATGTACCAAGTTTGGACCAAACCGCATACTCTCTTCGGTATTTATTCGCGCACCAGCCAGACAGTCAGACGGACGGACATCGCTAGATCGACTCTAAATGTCCTAAAACTAATTGGTCCAAACTGTCTAAAACCGTTATTTCGATGAAGCAAATATATACCCTCTGTATCCATATGACTGTGGCTATAAAAAATAGCCTCTGTAATATGAAGTAAAGGCTTTACTGTAAAATGTGGAACTATTTCAGATATTAACTAGACCCTCGAAATAGCCTGTACCTGTACAGAGATAACTGTTTGAGTGGCGAATTTAAAGAAATTAAATTATTAGATGACATCCATCTAAAAAAATTTCGCACAAATAAAAATGCTCTTAACTATTTTACGATCCTCACCAAAAATATTCACCATTCTACATGGAATCCGACATCCAAACATTTTCAGCCTTCATTCAACACAATCATCAAGTTTTTCCTAATTCGTTAAAAGTTTGTAGTTTTTAACAAGATTTTCGAGAACGGAATCACCGAATGCGTACTTAATTTTAAAACAGTAGAGTAAACCAACTTTTGTGCACCAAATTGTGTGATACTCTTATTTGATGAAAATGTATTTTATACTCTCCACCATGCAAAAAATTTTAGGATTTTCAATCCGTTTTTAACCCTTTATAATGGATATATCGGTAATCGGTGTGATATAGCCAATGTTAGTTATAGGCTAAAATTTGCTATATAGATTCCCAACGGGCTTGCTTCGTACAAAATTAGCCCAATTAGCCCATCAACAGAATCCCCCTACATATCTAACAGAATTGGCTGCCATTTTGTAGGTGAAGTTCGTTATGAGTTAAGTAGAAAACCGCCAATATAAGTCCAGGGTTTGGAACAATTAGTTTTTCCATTTTTTGGATATTTCTGCAGTTCTCAATGGATACGACATGGTCCTAATATTACAATACCTTCCATATATTCGTTGTTTTTTTGGACTTTATGATTTGCTAACTCTCTTGTTAAAATTATTCGTGACAGGTGAATTTGGGCATGTTGTCAAACATTATCTTTGGCCTCATGGCGGAGGGTATTAAAAGTTTGGCCGGGCCGAGGCCTTTTTTCTTATTTGTTATATTTTATTCTCAGCATGTAACAGATAAAACTAAAATAAAACATGTTATACAAAATGTTCTTGACCCGTTTGCATACTCCACCATTTGCCTATCATTCATATGCATCTCGTATACGTTTTTGTGTTTTATTTATCTTCACACAAAATGTTGCTATTTATATTCTCTTTCATTTTGACACTTTAAACACATTCATACATTATGCAAATGATTTGTGTCCTTTTTGCTTTGTCCTGCTGCCATAAAAAAACGAAAACAAAACAGGTTCACATTCATATGCAACTTTTCAATTCCATTGTTGGGGTGGTGTTGGGTTGGATGTTGATTTTATTTTTATTTTCACTTGTATAATCTGTTCTTGTTTTGAATTTGTTTTTTATCTCTCCTCTCGGGTTTTTTTTCTCTTTTCAGTCGACAACAGTTTTCAATTTGATGCAACCAGAGACCTTTTACGAGAATTAGATGTTAACGACATCGTTTGGATTGGTCTGATGAGACCGCAAAGCTCGGATCGTTTTATGTGGTCGTAAGTATTTAAATTGTGTGCTGGGGGAGTGTTATAGTATGCACATACATGTGTGTATGTATGTGTATGTAAAGCGGTGTTTTTTTAAGGGTGCTGCAGATAAATGTATTTTTTAAATTTTCATTTTTATGCTTCGTTTTTTTTAAACAACCGAACGTGTTTTTAATCGGAGAGGTTGTTTATAACCTTACTAGTGTATGGAGGGAGGAATTTCGGGACTGGTCGTAAAAATTCACGATTTTTAGGCCGCCTTTTGTGATTTTTTTTTTTGTTTTTTTTTTTTTTTTTTTTGGTCGAGGTAGTATTGAAAATATTGGTAATTTAAATTTTGTTCAGAAGATTCTATGTTTTGGTGAAAAGGACCTTTAACACTCCATCATAATAATTTGGTCTGCATGTTAAAAAAAAATCGTTTTTTTAATAATTTCCATGTTTTTCTTCGAGAACCAAAACGTATTTGCCAGGAATAGAAGATTCTTTTTTTAATTCATTAGTTAAGGCGTTTGAACAAAAACTTTTTTAAATACCCAGTTTTTTGCTCAGATTGTCCTTCAATAAAATTACATGTAAAACCCACTTATGAAGCCCCTTTAATAAAATTCTTTAAAAAAAAGTTATTTTTGGTCTGAAGGTAATTTTCTTAAAAATCCACAATGTTTTGTTGAGGAGGTCCTTGAATAATTTTTGCTTTAATATTCATAATGTTCTGGACAGAAGATCATTGCATAAAATGGTCTAACAAGTCAACAAAGTTCTAACTTAAAGATCCTCGAATAAGAAGATATTTGAATAAAATTTTCTTAAAAAATCTACCATATTTCCGTTGAGAAGGTCTTTATATACAATATCCTTAAAAAAATGTTGAATACAATGTTCCCAAAAATTTAATTTTTTGATACAAAGGTCCTTATTTTTTTAAATCCAGGATTTTTCTAGAATGTCCTTAAATAAAAATTCTAGATTCTAGAAGATCTTTTATTTATATTTGTAAAATCCATAATTTTTTTTATCAAAATTTGCCTTCACAAATTCCAAGGTGTTTTGGTTCCTTGAATAAAATATTAAAATCAATAAATTTTTGTCTTAAAAAAAATTAATAAAAAAACACGTTTTAATCAGAAAACCCTTGAAAAAAATGGAGTCGATCTAGGGATGTCCGTCCGTCCACTTGCCTGTCTATCTGGCTGGTGCGCACGATAACTTAGATCGAGTTCGGAGATGGGTAATATTGGTCAACTCTTTGTTGTACCTCCTACGCCCCTCCAACCAAAAAGTCGAAATTTAAAAATAAAACAAATAAAAAAGCTATAAGTTCGGCCGGGTCGAACTTTGAATACCATACATCATGTGGTACAAAATTTAACAATTTTCAAAAAAATAAAATCAGTTAAAAATTCTATTAAAATCTTAAAAACACCGAATGTAGCCGTATATTAGGGTCTATACGACTACGTACACCTGCATAGGCAACATTTGTCACAAGCTATTACAATATTCAAATGCGAAACTTGAAAAAAAAATCTGTTTATAATGTAGCTAAAATCATAAAAATAACGAACATAGGGAGGTACCATCGTGGTTGTAAAACGTGGACCTGCACAGACAATTTTCTGTCATAGGCTGTAGTATCCATTACGAACTTCAAATGCGAAATTTGAAACAATTCAGGTAAATAATGTCGTTAAAATCATCAAAATACCGAATATCGGGGGGGTTCCGTTATATGGGGGCTATACGAAGACGTGGACCTGCACATACAATTTTCTGTCATAGGCTGTAGTGTCTATTACAAACTTCAAATGCGAAATTTGAAACAATTCCGATAAATTAAGGTGCTAAAATCATCAAAATACCGAATATCGAGAGGTACCGTTATATTGGGGCTATAAAGACGTGGACCTACATGGCCCATTTTCTGTAGCATCTATTACGAACTTTAAATATTATTTTTGAAACAATTCCGGTAAAAAATGTCGCTAGAATCATCAAAATACCGAATATCCAGAGGTACCGTTATATGGGGGCTATACGAAGACGTAGACCTACATGGCCCATTTTTAATACCAAAAGTCCTGCAGACATAATACAACCTACTTCATATCGTTCGGAAGCTATAGTGATTTCCACAGACGGACGGACATTGATAAATCGACATAGAGTTTTATGCTGATCAAGAATATATATACTTTGTGGGGTCTAAAATGTATATTTCGAGGTGTTACAAACCGAATGACAAACTTAATATACCCTCCATACTATGGTGGAGAGTATAAAAAAATACTGCACCGGAAGAGATAGGGTAATCCAATATTGCTCCAACTTGGCCAATCCTTGTATTTGCATCAGTCAGGTTAGGTGTGGACAATATCGGTTCACTCCACCAATTACCTCCACCGCCAAAGGGGTCGAAATTAAATAAGCCATCATCCACACCAAATATGCCTGATGAGCCGCTTAACCAACGGCGAAACGCGTCGCATAGTGGTGAGTGTGTGATAGTGTCTATCTGGCTTTCCTTTTCACTGCAAATTTCAGATCATTAAGCTCTTACACTTAAATAATACACTTAAATATTATAATAAATATAACACTTAAATAATTATAATTCTTTTAAAATGTGACGTAAGAGTCCGATTGTCTTCAAATTGCATGCATCACAATATGTCGGTATGGAATATTTTGGCAGAATCGCATAATGACGCGAAATTTACATTCGGCTCCATTCAGACTTCAGCATATCTTAATATTTCTATAAGCACAAGATCTGATGTAAATATGATAGAGATCGGACCATTTCTTCTAGTACCTCCCCCTACAAAGGGTCAAAGCTTTTAATAACCAAAATGATCACAAAATTCGGTTCCTTTAAATTTTTCACATGCCATTGTTTCTACTAACGCAAGGTCTGTTGTGAAAATTGGATACATATGCGCACTCCTTCTGGTACCTCCCACACAGAGGGTTAACATTTTTGAGAAACAAAACTTTCATGCAACGCGAAATAAGGATCCAATCATCTGTCGGCAGAACCGAGAGATAAAGACTTTGAATAAAATGTTCTAAAACTCCACGATGTTTGGATAATTTTTTTTTTTTTGAATGAAATATTTAAAAAAAATAATCAAGAAGTTTTTGCGAAAAAAAAAAGTTTTTGCGAAAAAAAAAATTGATTACAATGTCCTTTTTGCTTGAGGTCCTTGTTCCTCATAGTTTTGATTAGAAGATCACAGAATTTTTTTTAAGATTTTTTGGTCGAAGGTCCGTCAATAAAAATGGATAGATTTGTGATTAGAATATCTTTTTCAATTCGTGATATTTGGTCTCAAAGTCCTTGACTAAAATTTTCTTAAAAACTTACTGTGTTTCACGAAGAAAGTCCTTGAATTCTATGTTCTTAAAATTAATGGTGTTCTGGTCAGAAGGTCCTTAAATAAAAAAAACACGGCTAAAAAGTCCTCGAATACAATATTATTTGAATATCTTTTTAAAAATTCCGAAGGTCCCTGAATAAAACTTTCTTAAAAATCCACGGTACTTAAGTCCGAATTACATTGTGTATAATATTAGAAAACATAATGTTTGGTCTGATGGAATATAATCTTCCTAAACAATCAACATATTTTGTTGAAAAATATACAATTTTAAAAAAATCATGATTCTTGGCTCAAAATGTGCACCGGTAAAATCCTTTTTTAAAAAAAACCAGTTATATATGGGGTGTCCTTTAAAACAGGTTATGCATGAAATTTTTTTAAAAAAGTGCGAAAAAACTCAAAATTCTACAATTTATGGATGGGATGTCTTTGAAAGATATCTTTAATAAATCTAAGAATCTTTGCCTCAGACCAAACTCTTTCCACATTGATAACCCCATTCGTATCAAAGCAGGTTCATGACTTTCCAAAAATGTTAACTTTTTTGGAATGGGACTTCCGCTACTTCTCCTCAAAATAAAAAAGGATCGGAATTTGCTAAACACTGTGTTACAAATCTATTTTTTTTTCTTTTTAATAAATACGGACGAAATCTAGCTGATTATGAAAGTAGAGCTAAAATGTCACGTGTATCAACATTTTTAAAGTCGAAAAGTAACCAAAATAGAGAGGACAAGTTCCCCATCTTCAACACTTTTGGAAATTTTTAGATTAAGATTCTGTGTATTTTAGTGTCTTATCAATTTAGTGTCTTATCAATATGGCAGATAAAAATACGAAGAATGTTTTTGTCGAAAACTTCAATCTTCGAGCCAGTCTAAAAAGGGGAATTTTTGGTCCTCTTTTTAATATGGTTAAAAACTGCCATAAAATTCAGCAAAAGGTGCTACAAGACGTCAAGGGTCTAAATTTTACTTAAACGCAAGGAATTCATACATATAAAAACACATTTTAGGGTTAAAGCCGTACTTTGTATGAGTTTGTGCAAATTTTTCCAACAAAGCTTTTATTAGAAGGATGCCTTCAAAGACAACAATATTCTTAATCAAATTTTACTATAAGCCACCAAAAAATAGAAATCTCTATTTTCATTGTGTGCCAAAATATTGTTGCTTTTAGCCGAAGAATTTTTCTTCAAAGGGCATTTTCTCTTGGAAAAACATTTTTATACAACCCCTTAAAAGCCCTCTTAATAAATCATATTTAAAAGACCTTTAGCTTAAAAAATCTCCTTTTTAGGAGATTTTTGCTGACATGAAAGTCCTTTAACAATCAGGTCTGACAATACCTAGAAGAGTCTTTGTTAAAATACCATGTTTTTGTCTGACAGCTCCTTAACAGCCCCTTTAAAAATCTTCTTAAAAGTCCACGTTTATAAGTCTGACAGTATCCTAAAAAGGTTCTTGGTCTGAAAATCGTCCATGCTTTTTAGTATGACAGTAGCATTGTTAAAAAATTCTTACACCGAAAAAAGTATCTGCTGTCAATGTTATCCCTCCTGTAGTTTTATCTCTTCTCATCCAACATTCTCTCCCTTCATAGCCTTACTGAATATCCTACAGAAACGGGTTACATTCTCTCTTGTTCAATAACGAATTATTCTTTTCCCACGAAACTTAATTTTAAAATTCTTCTGTGCTCATAAATTTGTAAAAGTTTTTCCCTACACTTGGTAATTGAATTTTATCGAACGTCATTTCTTTTGTTCTTTTCATCCTTCTTTTCCTTTTTTGTTTCCTTCTTCTTTTCTTTTTCACAAATTAAAGTAGCAACTCTCGACCTTTGGTGGCTGACACCGGTTATTGGGCCGAATCTTTGCCCCTAATGGATGCACCTCTGTGTGCCGTTATTGATCCCATACGTGATTATCGTTGGCATGCTCTGCGTTGTGGTGGTCCGGAGACAGCATCGTTTTTGTGTGAAATGCCAGGTAAGAGCAGCAAAAATGAAATGCAAGAGACAAAAAACAAGAAACACTTCCAAAACAGAAGCACTGTGTATGTGTGTGGCAGAGAGAGGAAGAGAAAAAAACTTAATTAAACCGAAAAAAGTCTGACAACGAAAATTGCAGTCTTGGAAAAAAGGCCAGCCAGCCAGCCTCTCCTTTTAAGTGACACTCTCTTCTTGAGCACGCCATACAATGGCATTTATTATTTTTTTGTCTCTCGGCTTATTCATGGTAATTTATTGTTCTTCATTTTTATGGTTTGTTGTTGTTTTTTTTTTCTCTCTCTCTCTCTCTATGTGTGTCTTTTTCATTTTTACCAGTACCAACTTGGGCTGATGTTTGCATCCTCAAGGATATGCCAAATTTAACAATGCAATATATGGCCGATACAGCAAGCATTGAACTTATACGCAATTGCCAGGAAGAGGGTCTATTGCGGACAACATGTCAAGGAAAGCAGGTGAGTTTTGTTACGTATGTGTGTGTGTGCATGTCATCCTATATGTGAGAAATTGAAATGAATGAAGAATTCCGAATGGAAGTGAATTATTTTCCAATAATGGTTTTCTACTGACGCTGCAGCAGGCTGAAGAAAGTTATTTAATTAAAAAGTTTTTTAAAAAACAATTAATATTGTTTATGTTCATTCTTAAGTGAAATGTATTGCTGATGCAAAGGAAAAGAAGGGAAAGGAAAATTAATTTCAATAATTGGCAGGGATGTAAGAAGAAATGGATCTTTCATGGGGGGAAATGAAACAATGCTTTGGTAGATATATGATAGAACGCGTATCGTTGCAGTCAAACGGGACTTTCAAAGGGAATATATATGGTGTGAGATATTTGCATATAAAAAAATATTATTTTTCAGAAGGTCCTTGAACAAAAGGCCCTTTTGCTTTAAAAATCTACGTTTTTGGCCTTAAGGCTCTTTAAAAAAATATTCTTAAAATTTGACTATGATGATCAGATATTCCTAATTAAAATGTTCTTAACAAATCCACGAAGTTTTGGTGTGAAGGTTCTTAAACAAAAATAAAAATTTGGATTTTTTAAAGAAATGTGTTAAGGACCAACAAACTATTTGTTTGTGAATTTTTAAGAATATTTTTCAAGGATAATCGCGGATTTTTTTAAATATTATTCAAGAAAAATCGTGGATTTTTTGAAGAATATTTTTCATGGATACCCAAGGAATTTTTAAGGAATATTTTTCAAGGATAATCGTTGTTTTTAAAGAAACATGTTTAAGGACAATCACGGAAGTTTTAAAGGATATTTTTCAAGGATAATCGTGGATTTATTTAAACAATATTTTTGCAAGGATAATCGTGGATTTATTTAAACAATATTTTTGCAAGGATAATCGTGGATTTATTTAAACAATATTTTTGCAAGAATAATCGTGGATTTATTTAAACAATATTTTTGCAAGGATAATCGTGGATTTATTTAAACAATATTTTTGCAAGGATAATCGTGGATTTATTTAAACAATATTTTTGCAAGGATAATCGTGGATGTATTTAAACAATATTTTTGCAAGGATAATCGTGGATTTATTTAAACAATATTTTTGCAAGGATAATCGTGGATTTATTTAAACAATATTTTTGCAAGGATAATCGTGGATTTATTTAAACAATATTTTTGCAAGGATAATCGTGGATTTATTTAAACATATTTTGCAAGGATAATCGTGGATTTATTTAAACAATATTTTTGCAAGGATATCGTGGATTTATTTAAACAATATTTTTGCAAGGATAATCGTGGATTTATTTAAACAATATTTTGCAAGGATAATCGTGGATTTATTTAAACAATATTTTTGCAAGGATATCGTGGATTTATTTAAACAATATTTTGCAAGGATAATCGTGGATTATTTAAACATATTTTTGCAAGGATAATCGTGGATTTATTTAAACAATATTTTGCAAGGATAATCGTGGATTAATTAGTCGTGGATTTATTTAAACAATATTTTTGCAAGGATAATCGTGGATTTATTTAACAATATTTTTGCAAGGATAATCGTGGATTTATTTAAACAATATTTTGCAAGGATAATCGTGGATTTATTTAAACAATATTTTTGCAAGGATAATCGTGGATTTATTTAAACAATATTTTTGCAAGGATAATCGTGGATTTATTTAAACAATATTTTTGCAAGGATAATCGTGGATTTATTTAAACAATATTTTTGCAAGGATAATCGTGGATTTATTTAAACAATATTTTTGCAAGGATAATCGTGGATTATTTAACATATTTTTGCAAGGATAATCGTGATTTATTTAAACAATATTTTGCAAGGATAATCGTGGATTTATTTAAACAATATTTTTGCAAGGATAATCGTGGATTTATTTAAACAATATTTTTGCAAGGATAATCGTGGATTTATTTAAACAATATTTTTGCAAGGATAATCGTGGATTTATTTAAACAATATTTTTGCAAGGATAATCGTGGATTTATTTAAACAATATTTTTGCAAGGATAATCGTGGATTTATTTAAACAATATTTTTGCAAGGATAATCGTGGGTTTATTTAAACAATATTTTTGCAAGGATAATCGTGGATTTAGTTAAAGAATATTTTTCAACGATAATCGCAGATTTATTTAAAGAATATTTTTGCAAGGATAATCGTGAATTTATTTAAAGAATATTTTTTAAGGATAATCGTGGATTTAGTTAAAGAATATTTTTCAACGATAATCGCAGATTTATTTAAAGAATATTTTTCAAGGAAAATTGTGGATTTTTTGAAGAAATTTTTTCGAGGATAATCACGGATTTTTTGCAGAATATTTGTCGAGGATAGCCGTGGATTGTCTAAGGAATATTTTTCAAGGATAATTGTAATTTTTTGAAGAATATTTTTCAAGGATAATCGTGGATTTTCTAAGGAATATTTTTCAAGGATAATCGTAAATGTATTTAAATAATATTTTCATTAAAAGAATACTTTCATTAAAGGAATATTTTTATTGAAGAATATTATTCAAGGGCCAACAGGGGTATAATTGTTAATTTTTTTAGGAATATTTTTAGGGATAATCGTGAATATTTTAAAGAATATTTTTCAAGGACCAACAGGGGTATAATTGTTGATTGTTTAATGAATATTTTGTACGGACCATAAGGGCTAAGATCTAAGACATTTATTAAGATTAGCTTTCAGTGATTTTTTAAAAAAAGAAGAATTATTCAAGGATAATCACAAATTTTTTAAGGAATATTTTTTAAGGATAAAAGTGATTTTTTTTAAGAATATTTCTTAAGGTCCAACGGGGGTATAATTGTTGATTTATATGAAATATTTTTTAAAGATATCGTAGATATTTTAAAGAATATTTTTCAAAGACCTACAGGTGTGTAATTGTTTATTTTTAGATAATATTTTTCCGGGACCAACAGGGCTAGCATCTAAGATATTTTTGATGATTAGCTTTCAGTGTTTTTTTTTTTCTTTTGAATAATATTTCTCAAAGATAATCGTCGATTTTTTGAAGAATAGATTTTAAAGGTGGATTTTTGGAAGTATATATTCCAGTATCACCGGAGTTATAATTGGTGTCCTTTAAAGTATATCTTTTTCAAGGACCAACTAGGGTAACATTTTTAGTTACTCAAAGAATATTTTTCACGGACCAACAAGGCTAATATCTTAAATCTTTCTTAAGATTATTTTTCACAGATTGAGAAAAAAAAAATCGTAAAATAGTTAAAGGATTGCCGTTGATTTGTTTAAATATTTTCAATGACCAAAAAGGCTTTTATCCCCGCCTTCGTCAGCGAAAAGTACCCAATTTGTTCGGTTTGACAAAAGCATTAAATCAAGACTTCTTTAAAATTTAAAATTTTTCATTCGATTCGATTACCGAGGAGGAAAAAGTCCGAGGAAGAATTGATGAAAAAAAAATTAGGGAATATTTTCGGTTTCTTTATACTCTCAACCATATCAATAGAGGTATATATCATATGTTATGGCCAAAACATACCACATCGAAATGTCAGTTTAGGTCTCTTTGGACCAAATCCGTCTCAGGACATTTAAAGTCGATCTAACGATGTTCGTCCGTCCGTCTGGATGGCTGGCTTTTGCGCACGATAACTCTCGAAGGGAGTACCCGATTTAGTTCAAACTTGGTACACGGTAACATTATAGTCAAATTTCGATCGAATTCCAAGGATGATATCGGTGCACTGCTTCTGTTACCTCCCCCACAAAAGGTTGAAAATTTAATATTTTTGTCAGTGCTAGCTTAGATGAAAAAATGAACAATATCGGTCCATTCCATTAAGTACCTCCCTCACATTGGGTCAATATTTTGAATAACTTTATCTCTTATAAAATGTCCGTCTCTCTTCAAATTACACACTTCACAATTTATTTATTAAACCAAGGTCTGGAGTGAAGAAGGCATATATCGGTATCTTCTGTAACCCACCTCACAAAGGGTCAAAATTTGGAATAACCAAAACTATTATAAAATCCGAAATAAGCATCCGATCCTCTTCATATTTCACACATGCCAATATTTCTACTAACTCAAGATCTGCTGTGAATATGGAATAGATCGGTCCACTCCTTCTGGTACCTCCCCCACAAAGGGTCAACATTTTGAATATCCATGTAGCTCATAAAACGCAAAATTAGCATTCGATTCCATTCGGACTTGGTATATCTCAATATTTCCATCAACACAAAATCTGTCATAAAAATGGGAGGGATCGGATATTTTTTTATTTTTTTTTTTTGTGCTTCCCCACTTAGGATTCAAGATTTTTAAAAAACCTAATGCTCAAAGAAAGCAATATAAACATCCAATTCTCTTCAAATTTCACACATACAAAAATTTTTGCTAAGAAAAGATCCTTTGTGAAGATGGTATATATCGGCGAACGCCTTCTGGTACCTCACCCACGAAGGGTAACAAGTTTCAATAGTTTTATCTGTCAACTTACGAAATCGGCGAATTTTTGCAACTTGCTCTATCTAAATATTTCTCTCGCTAAGGCAGATGAAAGCTTTACTTTGTTACAAAGAGGGTTCCAGATCAAGGTGTTTTTTGGATTTGAACGGAAGATATATCACCACATAGAACAGCGTCCAGCATGAGACTATCTTCTTTGAATACAATTTTCGGGTTTTCATAAAAAATTCAAATGTTTGCTTTATACTTTAAATGTTTCCGATTTCCTTTTCATCTTAGGATCGCGAACGAGCTCTCCAGGATCTGATTTGTCCACGCGAACGTCTTGAAGCTCAGCGTATCAATGACATTACCAATTCCCATTTTAAGTCGCTGCAAATAATCAACAGCATACCATCGGATAATAATGAGAATAATGACATTGAACTACTGCCCATGGATGTCAACTATGGCCCTTCACATTATAGCCCCGAAGAAGATCTCCAAACCGAAAAGAATACTGTACAACGTCTCATTGAACAATTCAATGTGGATGAGCTAATGCAGGCCGATGAACCCGCAAATATGGACACCGTCAGTTCGTTCTATAAAATACCTGGTTTGATTCCAAAACCTGTTAAGAAATCGGCCAAGAAAGTGGTTGAATATACCAAGAAAGAGAGTGTAAAGAAGCAGACGGCCACACAACAGCAAAAGGATAAGAATTCGGCTCGCATGCCCTTGGATATGGAGGATATGATGTTGGGTGATCAGCCTCAGGGTGAGCCCGAAATGCCCGAACAGATCCTTAATGAAGAGGTGTCGAATGAGATTTTGGAACCATTGCCGCACATCAAGAAGACCAACATACACAAGGAGGCCATGGAGAAAATGGAGAAAGAGGCCATTGCCATGAAGGAGAGCGCCCAAAAGAGCAAAGAAATTGTGGCCCAAATGAAGAAGGCGGCAGCTGCTGCAGCGGCGGCGGCAATTACCAGTACCACTACCACCACGGAGATAGTGCCGACAACAACAGTTGCTGAGGTTTCCACAACATTGAGGTCTAAATCTGGCCCCACAACTACGGAGACAGTTGTGGGTTCCTCAACAACTACAGCAACCACCACCACCCCTTCGACCACTAAGGATACAGAAATTACAACCACACATCATAGCTATCAAGAAATGTCCACAACAAGCGATGGAGAATCCTCAACATTGAGTCATGGGGCCTCCTCGACTGTTGCTCCAGCCACCATTGGCCATCCCATGCACCCCCAACAAGCTCGCAGCTCCGTCATAACCGAAGAAACCCAACATGGCCATGTTAAAGAGTCAGCTGACAACTCACATTTCATTCCGCCCATGTTGATGGTGAAATCTCATTATGTTCCCCAGGCCAACAAACATGGCCACAATGAACATCAAGGACATGCACCTCATGCTCCGGGGGGCCAACAGCCGCAGCAGCAACATCACATGGATTCCAACACCCACTACAATGAAGATGCTACAATGACGTCGCCGACACCAAAGAGTCACTCTGACATGGCGATGACAACAACAGCTAAGGCGATAGATGTTGAGTCCACAACCACACTGAAATCCAAGGACATTGAAAGAACATTCGAAGAGAATCAAAGTCAGACACATCAGCAGTTGGCCGAGGAAGAGGAAAAGAAAATTACCACCGAATCAGCTGGACTTTTGCAAATGAAAACGGACAAAGTATCAGAGGGTGAGACCGAGGGGAGAGAAGAACAGACAACAGAAAATGGCAACATGATACCAATTACTCAGTCCCAACGAACAAAGGAAGAGGAACCGGAAGAACAGCAAATCGGTAAACATAACCAAAATATGAAATTGGAGGAGGAAGTTCTGGCAACGAGTCATGCAAATGGCCAAGGCGAAGAAGATGAAGTTGATTCAACTCCAGTCACACCATTGACCACCACATCGCCACCTCAATCCGTTGCTGACGAGCAGACCAGCACCACCACCACCACAACCATAAATCCCCACGAAGACAAAACTTTGCAGACAACCACAATGAAGCTGGTCGAACAAACCGAAAATCCAAATTCCAGTGATGACATTGCAGATAAAACCGAGCTGCCAACTGGGGCTCGGACGACACAAGCTACTGATGCCGTGGCTGTGACAAAAGCAATTGTAATGAAAGAGGAAGAATCCGACGAGACAGAACAAACCACAAAACTAGTCGAGGAGACAGCAGCACCAGCAACGATGACGGCGTCGGCGGCAGAAGAAGGACATCCAATTTCAGAGGAAAAACATGATTTGGTAACAGAAACACCAACGCCAATAGGATTAACAACCCCAGCTGCAGTGGCCACCGAAAGCCAGAATCGCCAAGAATCCAAGACGACAACAACGAATTTGAATAAAGCAAAATATGCAGAAAAAAGTGTTACAACCACTGCGGAACAAGTTAGTCAAACAACTGCCCGAGTAACACCAGATGATACAAAGAAAATCCTTGCTACGGATATCCAAACAACATCCGGTTTAATTGCAGCAACAGAACACAAAGAAATAATCACAACTGAGGCCACGGAAGGAGGAAGAGAATCGGCGGCCAAGGGTGAAACAACGGATGTGACTACATTAAAGGCAACAGAATCCACCAGTTCTCCAGGCGCCAGCACAACACTAAAACCCACAACAGAAACGAATGAAACTAACACTAACAACCCACCCACAACAGAAGCAACGACAAAGATTTCGGAAACTACAAGCAGTAGCAGCCAAACAACATCAGCACCATCATCTGCATTGCCTTCTTCCACCATTACCACCACAACAGCAGAAATTTCTACTACCACAACTACGACCACCACCACAACAACAACACTTCCACCTCCCATCAGCTCCACCACCTCAACAACAACAGCAGCAGCACCAACAACAAATTTGGCATCGGAAACTACACGAAATTTCTTAAAAGTTACCACAGAAATGCCATTTAAACCAAATCGCCGACGCTCTCTAACCAAACCGGAAACCGTAAGTTATATGAAGAAAATTTTAGGTTAAGTTTTACAAAAACAGAAACAAACACATAACTCAATAACAAAAACAACAAGAACGTGATGAAAGGTATTTAGGAAAAAAAGGAACTTGAAAGAGAATTTCAGGTTTTGTATATTAGGGTGGGTCGGATAATTCTATATCTGAAGGTCTTGTGGGTATGGGAGGTGGTCTTCTGTAGTTATTCATGTCTGTGTTAGGCCTTTTATGGGTTCTCCAAAAGTTCTCTAGGTCTTCAGGGCATAGGAGATGGTTTTCTGTAGTTATTCATGTGTGTTAGGCCTTTTATGGGTTCTCCAAAAGTGGAATACCTTTAACGGTTTTTTATGGTCTGAGGACCTTTTAGAAGACTTCTATGGTAAGAATAGGAGCTTTTGGCAGTAGATGATCTTGTATAGGTCCATAGCCTTCTGGGCATAGGAGGAGACCTTCTGTATTTCTACATGTCTGTTTTGGGTCTTTTACGGGTTTCTAAAAGTAAAATGCCTTTTGGAAGTCTTTGGACCTTTCAATAGACTTCTATGGCAAAAAGAAGAGCTTTTTCCAGTAGAAAACCTTGTATGGGTCCATAGTCTTCTGAGCATAGGAAGAGGTCTTTTATATTTCTACATGCCTGCTTGGGACCTCTTACAGGTTCTCCAAAAGTAGGTCTTAAGGAGATATTTTAAAATACTTCTATTGTTAGAAGAAGAACTTTTGCCAGTAGAAGATTGTGTGCGGGTCTATAGATGGAAGAGCTTTTAAAGGTTTTCTATATCTCGAAGATATAGAATGGTTTGAAGACCTATTACATATCTTTTACGTAAACTGTAAGCTTTTAAGCCTGGTCTTTCAATGGTTGTTTATAGCTCTGCAAGTCTTCTTTGGATAGTAGTCCTTTTGAGAGATTTCATGGGTCGAAAAGCTTTTACAGCTCCTCTTCTATATATGTAGAAATATCTGCTTCAGACTTTTTACGGGTCCTACAAAAGTAGAATGGCTTTTACAGGTCTTAAGTGGTCTGAGGATCTTTAAAAAGAGGAGAAGAGCTTGTATACGTCTAAAGCTAGAAGAGCTTTTAAAGGACTTTGAATGCTAATATATCTTTATATTTAGGGGACTTATAGTTGGAAGACCTTTTGCATATGGCTGTGAGCTTTTAAGCCAGTCATCTGTAGATTTTAGGTCTTTCACAGGTTCTCTAGACAAGTTACAAGTCTTCTTTGAGTAGACGTTCCTTGGATGGATTTTTGGCCAGATCTTCTATAGCTTGAGAAACTTTTACAGGTATGCTGTGGATAGACGAGCTTTTACAGCTCTTCTGTGACTAGAAGGACTTTAACAGGTAATCGGAAGAAGGACTTATAAAAGTCTTCTATGGCAAGAAAAGCTTGTAAAGTTTTTCTATGGCTAGAATAGCTTATATACATAGGTCTTCTATAGGTTTAAAGGTCTACTGTAGACGTAAGTGCTGTCACAGCTTTTCTATGGTTAGAAGACGTTTCATAGATATTATATGGATATTATCTGGAAGAGCTTTTAAAGGTCTTCTATAGCTAAAAGATCGTGTACAGGTTTTTTGTGGCCAGAAGCTCTTAATCATGTGCTCCTATGGCCAGATGAGATTTTACAGGTATTCCATAGCTAGTATTTCTTCTAGAGGGTGTCTATGGTTAGAAGAGCTTTACAGATCATCTTTGGCCAAAAGAGCTTTTACAAGTGTCTATGGCTAGGCAAAATTTTATGAGTAGAAGAGCTTTTGTAGGTTTTCTGTGTCTAGAAGTACTTTTGCAGGTATTCTGTTGCCAGTTGAACTCTTAAATGGCTTCCATGACCAGAAGAGCTTTTACATGTATTCCACGGCTAGAGGGAATTTCGAAGGCGTTATATGGTAATAAGAGCTTTTGGAGGACGTCTTTGGCTAAAAGAGCTTTAACAAGTTTCTATGGCTAAACAAGGTTTTTCAGGTACTTTTACATGGTTTCTATGACAAAGTAAGCTTTTACAGGTAGTCCATTTCTAGAAGAACTTCTAAAGGCTTTCTATGGTCAGAAGAGCTTTTAGCGGACTTTTTATGCCAAAAGAGCTTTTACAAGTTTATATGGCGAAGCAATACTTTACAGGTATTTTATAGCTGGAAGAGCTTTTGCCGATCTTCTGTGGCTAGAGGTCATTTCGGAGGTCTTATGTGACCTGAAAATGTTTACATGGTTTCTATGACCAAAAGAGCTTTTACTGGTATTTAATAGCTAGAAGGTCTTTTAGAGGCTTTCTATTGTTAGAAGAGCATCTGGAGGACTTCTTTGGCCAAAAGAGCTTTTACAGCTCTTTTTTTACCAAAAGAGCTTAGGAGAGCTTTTGACTATCTTCTGTGGTTAGAAGTTCATGCTCAGGTCTTCTGTTGCTAGAATTCTTTTCGCTGGTCTTCTAAGGCTTAAAGACTGGTCTCCTTTGGCTAGAATAGACATTAACAATCTTCTTTGGCTAGAGGAACTTTTAAAGTCATTTCATGGCTGGAAGGTCGTTTATAGGTTTTTATGGTTAGGAGAGCTTTTACAGATCTTCTTTGGTCAGAAAACTTTTACAGGTTTCTGTGAGTAAACAAAATTAAAGTAGAGAAGCTTTTACAGGTTCTCTATAGCTAAAAGAGCTTTTACATGTATTATATGGCTACAAGGGGAATTCTTTGGCCAGAAGGCAGGTTTTCTGCACCTTTAGAACTTTCTACATGCCATTTAGACTACGGCACCTTTAGAACTTTTTGTAGTTTTCTATTGCTATGAAAGCTTTTGTATGTCGTATGTGACTAGAAGAGCTTGTACATGTTTTCTGGGGACAAAAACGACCAGAAAACGTTTTATTGGCATCTAGAAGACTTCTTACAGGTTTTTGATGGCTACGAGACCCTTTACTATTCCTCAAAGTTATGCCACCTTTTATAGGGATTCTTTATCTGGGAGACCTTCCCAGGGGTTTCTATATCTAATTAGCTATGAGAGCTTTTATATGACGTATGTGGCCAGAATAGCTTTTACAGTTTCTCGGATGACAAAAAGAGTAGAAGTTTTATTGTCCTTGAAAATCTAAAAGACTTTTTACAAGTTTTTGATAGCTAGAAGACCCTCTACTATTTCTCTAAGGTTACACCACCTTTTGCAGGGGGTCTCTATGCCTCCCTGAGTTTCTATATCTAAAAGGTTATAGATTTTATATGATTTTTTAAAGTTCTTTTCTTTAGATGTGATATTGTAATAGGTGTTACAGAATTGTTATACCTTTTATAGATCCAAGACCTTCTGCAGGTCTTCTACATGACTTTTTACATCCCAGAAGTCCTTATCTAGGCCTCCTTTACAGGACGATCTTTCACAGCTATCAGCTACATATTGGCATTCCTCCATGTATTGAATATCATTCTTAATATCCGGCACACCCTAATATACAAACGAAAGAGCAACTTATGACATCCTTTTGCGAACAGAAATAGTAACATAATAAAATGTAGAGAATCTATACAAAACATGCACAAAATGAATATAACTTCTAACAGGTTTTAGAGAGTTACAAACAAAACAAAAATAATAAAATTCAGTAGCATAGCAACATAACAACAACATGTATATCCTTAATCCTTTAAACTTAAACTTAAACTAAAACACACTTTGTTTTGTGGAAGAACAAATTAAATAAATTTTGTATATTTTACCTTTAAGTCATTTTAGAATTATTTACATAAGTCCCACTCCAGTTCGTTTTTTATGTTGTTTTTATAATTCAGTTAAAATAACAATATAACCCTTTTCCCCTTCTCCCAAAAAACTAAAAAAAGGATTAAGGTAACACCACACACACGAACAAACCATAGTCGGCATGGAAATAATAAATTATTTGTGAACAAGAGAAAAATGTCAGTAATAGTCTGTAAAAAAAATCCCAACACAAAACATAACACAGAACATTAAATTGTATTAAAAAAAACGACGGAGAACAAGGACAAGAACAAGAAAAATAAATAAACCCGAAAACCAAAAAATATCCAACTCAAAAAAAAAAAAAATGGAAAAACATGTTGGTATAGTCAGAGTCAATTTATAAGAAAAATAAATCTAAAAAAACCAAAACCCCCAAAAAACAGGATGTACGTTTGTTACACTGGTCTTCCCGTTTTAAACAACAGACCCTTAACACAAACAAACAAACACACACACACAAGGACACCACTAACAAGGATGTTGAGTAATGAAAACAACAACACACCATTCACAAATGTATGTCATGCAACAGAAAATGCCAAATAAATTTATTGAATACAAAATTTAATTATATTTAAAAGGAACAAATAAATAAATAAATAAAAGGAGAACCACAATTTATTGAGAATTTTGGTAAATAACAAAATAAATAAATAATGTTTACACAGCAAATTTAATTACTATCGTAAGGTGTTTTAGTGAAAACCCCCTAAATAAATAAAAACAGAATAAGTTATAAAAACAAAATTAATTAAAAAATAATTAAAGATATGATGCTGGCAGGGGACGCATGCTTTGGAGAACATAGATCACTTCTGATAACACGAACGATAAACATATACCGATTTAAGTTACGATACAGGTCTTCTATGGGAAGTCTTATACGAGTGGAAGATCTTGAAAGGGTCCTCTATATTTTCTAGGCCTACGATATGTATAAGACCTTCTATAGCAACACAATACGAACAAGACATTTGATAAGTCTTCTAGATGAAAATTCCCTACTACAGGTCTTCTATAAGTAAAAGGCCTACTGTTGGCCTCCCAGACTTAAAAGACTTTCAGAAGGTCTTTCAGACGTAGAAAACTTTCAGATGTTCTTCCAGACGTAGAAGACCCTCTAAAGGTCTGACACAACTAGGAGACCTTCTGTTGGTCTTCTAGGAATAGAAGACCTTGTAGAGGTCCCTCTAAAGGTCTGACACAACTAGAAGACCTCCTAGTGGTCTTCTATACGTAGACGACCTTTTAGAGGTCCTCCATACGTAAAACACCTTCTACAGTTCTTTTATACATATAAGACCTTCTGCAGTTCTTCCAGAACAAGAAGACCCTATAAAGGTCTTCGAGACATAAAATAACCTCTGCAGGTCTTCTATGCGAAGACGACCTTCTACAGGTCTTCTATGCGCAGAAGACCTTCTACAGGTCTTCTATACGTGGGAGACCTTCAGCTGGTATTTTATGCGAAGAAGACCCTCTGTAGGTCTTCTAGACCTTCTGAAGGTCTTGCAGACATAAAAGGCAACATGTAGGTCTTCTGAACATAGAAATCCTTCTGTAGTTCTATTAGACCTTGAAGTCTTTCCGTAGGTATTCTAGACCTAGGACTTCTAGACGTAGAAAGTCTTTAGCTAGTCTTCTACATCTAGAATATCTTCTGTATATCTTCTACAAGTTGAAGACCTTCAGCTGGTCTGCTATGCGCAGGAGACCTTCTACAGGTCTTCTATGTACAGGAGAACTTCTCCAGGTCTTCTATGCGCAGGAGACCTTCAACAGGTCTTCTATGTGCAGGAGAACTTCTACAGGTCTTCTATGTGCAGGAGAACTTCTACAGGCCTTCCATCCGCAGAAGAACTTCTACAGGCCTTCCATGCGCAGAAGACCTTCTACAGGCCTTCTATGCGCAGAATACCTTCTACAGGTCTTCTATGCGCAGAATACCTTCTCCTCCAATGCATAGAAGCCCTTCTACAGGCCTTCAGTTGGTCTTCTAGACCTAGAAGACTTTCCGTAGGTCTTCTAGACATTAAAGACCTTCAATACGTTTTCCAGACCTAGAAGACTTTATGTAGACCATCTAGATCTAGAAGATCGTCGGCAGGTCTTCTATGTGTAAAATACCCTCCTTTGGTCTTTTATACGTAGAAGACTTTCAGTAGGTCTTCCAGACGTAGAAGACTTCCCGTAGGTATTCCAAGCATTAAAAACATTCTGCAAGTCTTACAGACGTGTAATAGCTTTTGCAGATCTTCTAGACCTAGAAGACTTTATGTAGGTCGTCTAGAGATAGAAGACCTTCTGTAGGTCTTCTGAACGTAGAAAGCCTTCTGCAGTTCTTTCTTCCGTAGAAGACTATACAAGTATACTATACGAAGAATACCTTCTACAGGTCTTCTGAACATAGACAACCTGCTTCATGTCTTCTAGAACTATAAGACCTTCTATAGGTCTTCTTAAAGACTTTTTGTAGGTCTCTAGCCATAAAAGACGTTTTGTATGTCTTCTAGACCTGGAAGACCTTTTGTAGGTCTTCTAGACCTAAAAACCTTCAGTTGGTCTACTAGGCCTAAAAGACCTTCTGGTGGTCTTCTAGACCTACTATAGGTGTTTTAAACCTTCTGAATATCTTTTGAACATAACAGACCTTTTGTATGTATTCTAGACCTAGAAAGCGTTTTGTAGGTATCCCAGACCTAGAAAATCCTTTGTAGGTCTTCTAGACCTAGAAGACCTTTTGCAGGTCTTCCAAACATAGATTACCTTTTGTATTTCTTCTAGAGGTATAAGATGTTCTATAGGTCTTCTAGACCTTGAAGAACTTCCATAGGTCTTTTAGACCTGGAAGATTTGCTTTGCCTCTTTTAAGCGTAGAAGATCTACTTCAGGCCTACTCTATGACCTTCTAAAAGTTTAATTTGGACATCTTAGTTTTTATACCCTCCACCATACTATGGAGGGTATATTAATTTTGTCATTCCGTTTGTAACTCCTCGAAATACTCATGTCAGACCCAACAAAGTATATATATTCTTGATCAGCGTAAAATTCTAAGACGATTTAGCCATGTCCGTCTGTCTGTCTGTGTGTCTGTCTGTCCGTCTGTCTGTCTGTCTGTTGTAATCACGCTATCTTTCGAACAAATTGAGATAGAAGGCTAAAATTTTGCACACATGTATATTTTGCCAGTAGGCAGGTTAAGTTCGTTAATGGGCCATGTAGGTCCAAGTTATCATATAGCCCCCATATAACTGTACCTCCCGATATTCAGTATTTTTATGACTTTAGCGACATTATTCGCCGGAATTGTTTCAAATTTGGCATTTGAAGTTCGTAATGAATACTACAGCCTAAAACCGAAAATTATCTGTGCAGGTCCATGTCTTCGTGTAGCCCCCATATAACGGTACACCCCGATATTCGGTATTTTTATGATTTTTGCGACATTGTTTACCGGAATCGTTTCAAATTTGGTATTTGAACTTCGTAATGGATACTACATCCTAAGTCAAAAAATGAGCCATGTAGGTCCACTTCTTCATATAGCCCCCATATAACGGTACCCCCCGATATTCGGTATTTTGATGATTTTAGCGAAATTATTCAGCGAAATCGTTCCAAATTTGGTGTTTGAAGTTCGTAATAGATACTGCAGCATAAAACAGAAAATGGGCCATATAGGTCCACGTCTTCATATAGCCCCCATATACCGTACCCCTCGATATTCGGTATTTTGATGATTTTAGCGACATTATTTACCGGGATTGTTTCAAATTTCGCATGTGAATTTCGGAATGGATACTTCAGCCCATGCCAGAAAATTGTCTGTGCATGTCCATGTCTTCGTATAGCCCCCGTATAACGGTACCCCCATATTCGGTATTTTAATGATATTAGCTAGATTATAAACAGATTTTTCTTCAAGTTTCGCATTTAAATAGTGTAATAACTTATGACAAAAGTTGCCTATGCTGGCCCACGTCATCGTATAAGCATTCGGTATTCTTAAGATTTTAACAGAATTTTTAACGGATTTTA